CATTCATTTCTTAATCATTTATCCCTATTTTTTTTTTCTTATGGTTCCTTGGGGGTAGGTTTTTTATTCCATAGAGCTCCTACGTGATCCTGAGACGTTGTCAAAGCAACGATAATAAAAGTATCTAAATTCTGCACTGCATTTACATCACTAGAGCCAGATTACTTTATGTTTCAACTGTAGTCAGATTTCAAGATCTTTATCAAATTAGCACACACTATCGATAATGTATGTGTTGTAATGTAATACGTATCTTATTCAGACTAAATGCTTAACCCATTTGCGACCTAATATATAATTGTTTCTGAATTATTTTGCAGCATTATAAATTTTCTTTAATTTATAACGGTATTTATGAACTTAGCATGATAAATTGCAGCATTCTTTTTATAAAAGGCTTTTTATGTTAATAGGGTTGTCTTAAATAGAAAGGAATTATTAAATACCTTTTCTTCAGTTACGGTTGCTTAATTTCTTTTTATTTGCTATAAATCAAACTATTAGTTACTAATCTGCATTTACTATTCGGGTTTCGTATGAACTTGGTCTCGTGTTGGTAACAGAACGTTTTACCTGACTGTCTTTCTGTATCTCTAAAGAATTACTTCTGCCTGTTCTCATTTCCAATAGGCACTTAGTTGTAATTCCAATGTATTCCGATCTCTTTAATGGGAATATTTTTCTAAAAAACCGTATTAAGTTATTAAACTAGTTCACAGCCAAAATTATAAAGAAGTAACTTTGACTTTACAAACCTGGTATTATGCAACTCTTACGTTGCTTTTCACATAATGAGTGAGGTTACCGGAGCCTAAGCCCTCTCTTCTCTGATTATGGGTGGAGGGGACTTTTGAGACTTTTGAGATGCAGGTGACGATGGGTGGAGGTAGTTACTTACAATCAGGTGATCCGTTGAATTGTTTGTATCCTAAACCAAAAAAAGAAGATATTTGTAGTTATCTCCAGGGTTACTTATTAGAGTTCTATAGTCCTAATGAGGAACCTCTAGAGTTTCACTATGTCTGTCTGTTCTAACATCTATCAATATAGCATAAACAAAGCTGCATTTTTTTAGTTAAATAATATTACTATCTATCCTTTAAGCGTTGGACAGGCATTAAAAAAATTGAGTGTGCTTAGACAATTTTAGTAAATATTGCTAAAAATATTTAACTTCAAAGAACTAATTTAAATAAACTGTATGCTTAAAATTTTTGAAAAATTTACTACTAAGTACGAAACAGAAAACAAAAAAAAAAACTTCGCCGGTGAAGTTATTTGTTATTTACAAAGGATAGTATATAAACTGCTGAATCCTACACTTTTGTTTTATTTTTTACATAGTTAAGCGCTTTCAATAAGAAATGACAGTACGCGTCGTCTTTTTCAACTGAAAAATTGCATTGAACTTTTTCAGCGACGTGCTTTTTGTATGAATGGTTTAAAAGTAACAATACAATGTACACCATAGATTATTATTTAAAAAGCATCTACTTGTGATGTATCTATGATGGTACATGTTCGAAACTTGTAGTCTGTCGTCTTCAAATGTAATTTATACTGTTAAATATGAAATTTCTATAAAAATATTTTTTATTGGAATCAGGTTTAGATTTCACAGTGTGTTACTTGACATTATTAGTGAACAATGTTAGAGATCAAAACTAAATATGTGTAAAAATTAAAAAAATCCTGACAAGTGCAAGTCGGACTAGCCTCACAGAGGGTTCCGTACAAATTTGTAGGTACATATTATGAATAGTTCAGGAATCAAGTCTCGCAGTTTTTAACGAGCTTTAACAAAAACTTCGTATACGAAACCTATAACTATTCATATTATTGTGGCTTATAAGTAAAATTGTATTCATATTCATAATTTATTTATTTGCTGATAAAAGTGTACAACGGTGATACATTTTAATTTATACATGTCGTCTTTGGTCTACCTTAACGGCATGCAAAAGTTGGAAAAAATTATTGTCAATTTATTTAGAATAATAAATTACATTTGTCAATAAATATATCAAATAAAAATGACAATATAAAATGTCAAAATGTTACAATTATACTTATAGTTACAAATAAGTTTATTTACTTAATTAAAAAAACAATAACAAGATCATCCCAACTAGTAATAATGCAAAGATAGTCTTATTTTCCTGAGACAAAGTCACATATTACATTGCATTTCTTTACTATAAAGTCATGAAGGTGCTAAGGCGCTTCTTAAATAGACTAATATTGTTGAACCATAGGATTGAGTGGATCTAGCGTTGTGTATGAAAGGCAGCGCCTTCTAGTATCAAGTAGGACACAACGCTACGCATTGATATTATGGTTCTTAATTCCGATACTTGCTTGCAGTGCCATCTAGTGTTGAATATCGGAAGTGTATTGCACGTGATACTGTCTGGAACATTCCATCGAATAATCTAGTAATTTCGATAGCACTATAAAAGCGGAACGTGTTGGCCGTACGGGACAGTATCGTTTTACGACACAGTGAATTAACATCGAAGCGAAATTGTAGTGTGACTAACGAATTATATAGTGATTTCTTATTTGTAATAGTGAATGTTTGTAAATACAGTGCAATGAAAGTAATTAACCGATAACTTTTATTGATTGTATACTCCGCTCGGAACAATATTTAACTTTTTTTATTCATTAGGTATCCGGTTATATATGACTAGTGCCATGCAGAAGATGCTTTTATGCAATAAAGATGTATTTGCGTTATGTATGGGAAGCCTATCGCGTGTATTTGTCCTTCTACTTCATGTAACAGTGTCTGCCAAAGTCTCAAATAATTCAGGATTTAATTTTATAAAAGTTGCCGTTTTAAGTATATTTAAAGACGGTAAAGTTAAGATATCGTGCCTTACAAAGTATGGTTTACAGCTATCTCTACTATTTAAACTAAACATGGCTCGAATACATCGGACATCGGAGTTGCCCAAAATATTATTTCATATCTTAAATATGACTCAGTAGTTCCATGATAGGCTGTAAGGAGTGCATCAATATTTAAGAGATGTGTAAGTTTAAACAGAGCATAGCTGAACTACTGATATTATTACATAAAGTCATGAAGCCTCTGTGTAATTTACCAATTTCATTTACTGTCAATAGTTAACCCTAAAAATTTCGTTGTGGTAACTTTAATTTTGTCAAGGCAATTTATTATATTTAATAGTTGAGCGTTTATATCATTTTCATATTGTTTCATTTTTACATTCTATAGTAAATGTACTGTCATCCGCAAACAATGTAATTTGATGATCAGATACTTTAGGCAAGTCATTTATGTAGAATATAAACAGCAAGGGACCCAAAACAGTACCCTGCGCCACGCTATATTTCACTGTTCGCTTATGAGAGATGTACGTTTCTTCTTGTTTAGTTGAACTGTTTACTTGTTTAATTTCTACATATTACTACCGGTCAGTCAGATATGATTATATAGACTTAGGACATTTCTTCAGTCATATCACAGAAAATAGCACACACTGATATATTAATATCTACTTTTGCTATTATTATATTTAAAAAGTCATAAATTGCTCCTTTAATACGTCTATTCCGCCTAAACCCTTTTTGCTCAATGGCCAAAATATTATGTTTTTCTAGATAACTATAAATTTCGTTACATATATACTTTTCAAAAACTTAAAAATCAGGTGTAAGTGTGATAGGTCTGTAGAATTCTATAAGCTCTCCATTTTCCTTTTTGAAAAGCGGTTTTACTACAGATATTTTTAGTGCACTCGAGTAGATACCTGTTGTAATGTAACATAGATGGTTCGAAATTCATTGACTTTTAGATTTAACAACCCTAGTCGAAATACCGTCAAACCCCTCGCTATTGGTATTTTTTAATGCTAATATGATATTTTCAATATCCGATGGAATACAAGGCGAAATGAACAGTTTTTTTTTTTCTGTCAATGGGAAGTATCCTATAAATTTTGATACCCTTGAAAGTGTCAAAATATGCGTTTTTTCGGCATAAACGGCCGTATTTTTGTTTTAGGTCAACTTAGAAGTTTGTTTTTTTTACAGCTTCAGGAGACTGTAGAACTAAATATATGGTTTTAATTTCAACTCGATACCTCTATGCGTTCTCAAAAAGGTTTCCAAATGCTTATACCAATGTGACAACTAAAGAGCACTTATTTTAGTATCGATATGTTACAAAATCTACCCTAGCGAAACCACAAGAAATCACTTAAAAATAGCTTAGTTTTAATTCGTAGGTACTAAATGACAGCATAAAAGTGAAAATTAACATATTATGTTTACACAATTTGTAAATAAATATTGTAAATGAGCCCAACTGCCAGCGTTATTTTCGTCTTCCCAGAGGTAGCATTAATGCAAATACTGAATAACTGCCTTAATGGATCTCTGTATAGAGGCACCATTAATTTTATTATTTGGGGAAGCATGACTCGGCACAAAACCCCTTACCCAGTCGACTTCTATTAATATAATGAAATCAAACGATGCTCGCTGATTTTAGTTATTCATTGTCAGAGGCGTTTTTGTGTTAACGAAATCACCTAATTGTTGAGTATAATATATAGTTGTATAAGTAACCTTCTACTTAATTTATGACAATTAATTGTTATTTGAAGTAGTAATGTATTTTCTTTGTGTATGATTAATTTAGCAGCATATTCTCCAATGGACAGCTAGGACTTTTACAAATTAGTTGACAATAAACTCCTAGTGTACATAATGTCATGATCGTTCTAGCATTAAACTCTGACCAGATGACTTGCTAATTATACTTCTCCAGTTTAACGACTCCTATGCGAGCAAAGAATTGTATAATATTCAACTGTAACAGGAGAAGCAAAGGTGAACAATGTAATGAAAGCACTAACCAAATTTATATCTCCATAACTTAAATTTACTGATAATTACGAGTATAGGTAACATATATCAGGCTTTTTCTTAAAAATAATTTAAAATAGTAATAACTTGACCGACTTAAGTTACGACACCACATTTGACCAGGTTCTCCTTATCATATCGGCTGCTTTCTCGCCAATCATGATGGCGGGTGCTGCGGTGTGTGCATTTGTTGGCCGAGGAATAATACTGCTGTCTACAACTCTTAATCCATCTACGCCATAAACTCTTAATTCTGGATCTACTACGGCATAAGGGTCTGATGATGGACCCATTTTGCATGTTGCAATTTGATGATGCAATGTTATTGTTTCAATTCTTATAACACATTCCCAGTACTGATCGGATCCAGGATAGTAATCCCTGCATCTGGTAAAATCAGCAAAATGTAATTGAGGATCATATTTTCTAAATGCCTCTGAGTTTCCTATTTGAATAACATGTTTAACTGCATCTAAGACTGCGGCCATATCTTGGGGATGTGTAAAATAGTTTCCATACATTTTTGGATGCGAGAATGGATTAGTGTCCTTTAATTCTAGGTATCCTCTAGACTTTGGTTGTGTTAACATAATTACTGCTGACCATGTATCTAACCCATACAGGGGTCTATAAGCTTGATGAAACATATTTTCAGACAATCTCCAACTTTGTCTAAGTGCGCCACCGGAGTCCAAACTTAGTGATCCACCCATACTTAACAGTTCAACATCGGGAACATTTTCTGGATCCTGAGATGCTGAAGTTTTTATATACCCTATCGCTTCCACCGCACCTGTTGTAGTTAATAATCCGTCGCCATAGTGCAGCCATTGTAAAACATTTGGCAAAGTAGCAACTTTCGGTTCTAACAAGCTCGCGTTGGTTGTATTCAATTTGAAAATAACTCCAGGAAATGCTATATGATCATAAAGAACTCTTCCAACTTGCAAATTTACAATTACTGGGATGCCTAATGACCTCAAATGGTCTTCAGGACCTATTCCCGATAGCATGAGTAGTTGAGGGGAAGCTATCGGTCCCGCTGATAAAATTATTTCTCTACGACAGCGCACTGTGCGCTCTACGCCATTCCTTACGTAGTTGACTGCATAAGCTCTTTTGGATTGAGGATCTATAACCACTTTAGTTGCTCTCGTGTCAGTCAGAATATGCAGATTACGTCGTCGTTTATGATTATGCAGGAACGCTTTCGCGGCGCTCACTCTATGTCCTTTACTCAACATAGCCTGTGTGTACCCGAATCCAAGTTCATATGGAGAATTATAGTCGACTGTGGGGTTGCCAATATCTCTTTCAGCTTTCAGGAACGCTTCCACAAGACCAGTCCTAAATAAATTAATCAATTTTATAGTTTTTATTAGGTTTAAACAGCGATAATTAATATTAAAAACACTAAGAAACTTACTTGAATGGAACATTCGAAATAGTTAATTCACCATCGCGACCACGATATGTAGCATTTCTGTAATTCTTTACTTCTGATTTTTCAGATTTCATATAATAGGTCAAAACTTCATCATAGCTCCTGTAAGGAAAGTAAGCTTGTCTTAATATCTTAGATGTTTTAGAATAGAACAGACTACTGATAAACATACTTATATATATCTAAATACATACATCGTACAACAAACGATCATGCTCATCACACAAATATTTGTCCTAGGTGGGAATCGAACCCACGACCTCCGGTTTAGCAGGGTCACTAACCACTAGACCAACAGACCCGTCAAACGATGTCAGTCGCCGTCCCCGAACAATTTCAGTGATGTCTTGCATATAATTATATAATATCTTATTAGTGCATATATTATCAATTATAAACTTGCTGTTCACAGATAAGAAGACAAATAATTTATTGGAATATAGTATACTATTCACATCACATCTCATCACATCAACAGCCTTTAATAGTCCACTGCTGAACCTCTCCTTTAAAAGGAGGTTTTGGCCTACTATACCACGCTGGCCAGACGGGTTGGTTTAGGGTTTGTGTCAAGTTTCTGCCCGCATCGTCCGGCACCTCTACGAGGTGGGCCCCGATCTGTCGGACGCCCAATTTGGTTTTCGGGCGGGGTGTTCGACAGTCGACGCTGTGTTGCGCCTGAGGGCCGTGACCGAAGAGGCCGTGAGCTGTGGCGGCGTGCTGTTGGCGGTGTCATTGGACATCGCCAACGCATTCAATAGTCTGCCATTCAGCTGCATCAGGGAAGCACTCCACTATCATGGGGTGCCAAAGTACCTGAGGCGGCTAGTGGCAGACTATTTAGAGGAGCGTACCGTCGTGTACGAGGACCGAGAGGGTAATTCGAGGTGTCGGCCCATGTCGTGCGGTGTTCCACAGGGGTCTGTTCTTGGACCCCTCTTGTGGAACATAGGGTACGACTGGGCCCTTCGAGCCGATTTCCCCCCCGGGCTGGGTGTAATTTGTTACGCAGATGACACTCTGGTTACCGCCCGGGGGGCGAACTTCCAAGAGGCGGCGCGCCTGGCCACAAGGGGAGTCTCCCTGGTGGTCGGGCGCATTGAGGCGCTGGGCTTACGGGTGGCCCTAGATAAGACGGAGGCCCTGTTATTTAGTGGGCAGGGCGGCAGCACGGGACCCTTACCTTCCGGCTGACGCAGGTGCTTTCCGGGTACGGTTGCATCGGAAAATACCTGTATTCGGTCGCTAGGAGGGAACTGAGTCCCGCCTGCCACCATTGCGACTGCAGTGAGGACTCGGCCCAGCACACGCTGGCGGTCTGCCCCGCATGGGCGACTCAGCGCCGGACCCTCACTGCAGTCATCGGAGTGGATCTCTCGCTACCGGCCGTAGTACGTAGGCCGGTAGCGACAGTTGTTTTACCGCGGTCGCAACCTTCTGCGAGGAAGTAATCTCGGAGAAGGAGGCGGCGGAGAAGGCCCGGGAGGACGACCTCCACTCGGACCCGAGGCGCGCCTATCACCGCGTCATGCCGCCCTGAGTGTGGCCGCGGGTGGACGGGGTGGGTTTCCCCTCCACCCGCATTAGTTTGGCCAGCCGCGAGGGGGCGGCGTCCGCGTGTGCCGGACGTCGCCTAAAGAGAGGAAAATTTTGAGACGGGGCCCGCAACAGGAGCGGCGCTAGGAGGGGCCCGGATGTCTTAATAACAGCTGTTCCCGGATCCCTCCTATTACAGGCGTAGAGTGGCACACTGTGTGGTTTTAGTCGGTCCGAGTCCGACACACCACCCCGCCGCAAACCCCGGTGGGGTGACGGTCCGAGGGGATTTCCACACGTTAAAAAAAAAAAAAAAAAAAAGGGTTTGTGTCAAGTTTTCCTTCTTTCTGCAGTGCTGTTTTCCTGCGTGATTTGCTCCCTTAGTCGGCTCTTACGACACCCACGGGATGAATAGGGGTGGTGACACTCTGTATTCTTAATCCGTCACCACACGGACCTATACTATTACCTATATGCAAATAACATAGACAAAAATAGTGAGAAAATTTTGTTTTACGTAAATGAGGATAAAAAAAATATATTAGGTACAATGAGAGGCTACGGCGTAGCAAACAATGTTTAGCTATGTAAATATTATAATTAACGGTTGTGATGATGCAAGTGTAAGTTGCAAATATATCGACAGTTTTAACTTCATTGTTATTTATATACCATATTCATTGTTTGAAATTCATATGTTTTATTCAGAGGTTATTAAAGTATGGGGTCTACCAATAAGAACGTCCTGGTTTAAAAATTGAATAAAACACACAATTTTTTATGAAAAATGCATCCGATTGATTTATTTGATAGATAATTTTATACAATTTATGTTTTAAATAAATGACCGCCGCGGCTCTTTTTGCAGACGATCACACGCTCACGCCAATTTTCGATGACGCGGTGCACCATTTCGGGCGGTATGTCGGCTATGGCTCGTCGAATGTTGGTTTTTAGGTCACGAATTGTAGCTGGATTATTGCTGTACACTTTAGATTTAACGTAATCCTAAAGAAAATAGTCTAAAAGTGTTAAATCACACGATCTTGGTGGCCAACTGATCCGTCCATTTCTCGAAATTAACGACTCACCAAAGTTTCCACGCAATAATTCCATGTTCACTCGAGTAATGTGAGGTGGTGCACCGTCTTGTTGAAAATAAAGGTCGTCTGCATCAATATCATCAAATTTCGGAAAGAAATATTCGGTTAACATCGAGTTATAGCGCTCGCCATTCACAGTAACAGGGTTTCCTTCGTCACTTTCAAAGAAGTACGGACCAATGATTCCGCCGTACCATAAACCGCACCAAACTGTTATTTTTTGTAATGGTGATTCATGAACCACACGTGGATTTGACTCACTCCAATAGCGACAATTTTGTTTATTAACAAATCCATTGAGCCAGAAATGGGCCTCATCTGACAAGATGATTTTACGATGAAAATCGTCATTGGCTTCCATCATTTCCAGTGCATAATCGGCAAATTCACGACGGATACAATGGTCTGATGGCTTCAATTCTTGTGCCAAAACAATTTTGTATGGGTGTAGGCCCAAATCCAACCGCAAAATACGCCAGGTGGTCATTGGAGAGAGCCCCAACTCTTGTGAACGGCGTTGAACTGATCGATTTGAATTCACATCAACACTGGCCTGAACCGCTGCGATATTCTCTTCACTACGGGCATTTCCTTGTCTCACAGGTACAGCAGTATCGTGGAGAGTGAATTCACTTTCAAATTTTGTTATTATGCGATTTATAGCGCGCACATAAAGAGCACTATGACGACCGTTTTTTTGCGCGAAGCGCTCTTACTGTAGCGGTAGGAGAACGCGAATTTGCGTAATAATTTTGGACAATTACCAAGCGTTGGTTTAAAGTAAAACGTGACATGATAAAATGGCAAACCTTACTGAACACAAATGTCAAGAGACGTCAAAGATCCATCATCAAACATGGCCGCTATGAACTGTCAAAACCAGGTCATCCCTATTGGTAGACCCAGTATGTTTTTAGTCAAAAAGTAAGCATTACTCAATTCAGAAAGAAACAATTGCAACATATGAATCTGAAGTATTTATAAATTTGAAGAAATTAATAGTGCATAAAAAATTTTTTTGGAGGTCATTAACCAAAGACAGCAAGTCGATAAAGCAAGTATTATGTAAACTGAGTCTTTGAGAGTTAACTAAAACTAACAAGTTCATTTCCGAGTACAATGATTATGTTTTTATAGGCCTGTTGATCCTGATCGCTAAGCCAAAGGATGGGTTTGGTTCCTCTGCAAGACAGATAACTGTGTGATAAGCACCATAATTTGTTTTATGTCTAAGTGTATGTGTATTTATTTAATTATGTATATTTTATTGATATAGTAAATATATGTATAGGTAGGTTTGTCAGCGGTCTAGAGCACAGCCTCTGTCTAATGTGAGAACAGACGGCCGTGTGTGCAATTTGTTCAATATGATATTATTATATTAAAATATTTTTTACCATCCGTAATTTCCGTCTGCTGCAATCCTGTCCCAGTCCTGTGGTCTACCTCTGGTGTAAAGCATATAGTTGATGACGCTGGAACCACCGAGGGCCTTACCTCGAGGCCAAAAGCAGCGCTCACCTTCGCTACCTGTAAGATACGTAGATATAATATGTACATTGTCCATAATATTCCAAGTAATATTTATTTATATGTCAAGGAACAGGATAAATTATTTCTAACACAAAGCCATGCGGGCCGCGGTTTCGTGATTTGCATTGAGAAGTTTAATACAAACTAATCAGCGCGATAACTTTCATTGCGAGATACAGGATTAGTAATTACTACGTAGATCAGTGTGTCTAGGTTAGATTAGAGTAATTTTTTCCTGAGGTCAATGCATTATCACTGCATTTACACATGATGTTGCAAATTACAAAAACAATAAATTGTCCTGTTTCTAAGGCAATGAATATTTTTTGTTCATATTTTGCAAATCGTCTAGAAATAAAGTGCAGAATATGTGGTTTCGTGAAATGAAATATTATACAAGTAAATGTAAAGTGTATTATAATTTCATATGCGTTGTCAACCGTTATACGCGTTGTATGTTTACAAGTTATTGCAAGTCTATAATGATATAATGAATAATAATTTGAAGTATTTTATTCAGTAAGTTAATATATATAACCAAGCGAATGACGCGTATCTAACCGACGTAATGTTTTCATGGGACTAATCAAGCCCTCGTGTGGGGGCACACGCCTGCTAGTGTAACTCCTATACACCAGAATCCAAACCAAATGACACTTGGAAAGTCTTAGTTAAAGTTGTAGCCTATGTTTAGCGAAAGCGCTATGATTATAAGATCTGATATCAATCAGAGAGGATGGAAAATAGAACTCGCAAGAACCTATACAGACCATTATACGTACGTATTTGTACAGTTTCAAATGCTAACAAAAAAAAATTGTATGCATAAATTACAGTCAACCCAAATAAATGAAAATTTATACATCTAGATTTTTTCTTTTCTTCCATATTTGTAACCAAAGTATCACTTTATATTGCGATTTACCTTCTGGAAGAAACTCACCTTTTATTCTAATAAGAATAAAGTATTTATCCTAAACAGTTCTAGCGATAGTTTTAATATTTTGAACTTGAGAGATGTATCATTTCTAAATATCTTAGTCGAGGATCTAATCATATGATTTAATGTCCACTCAACCTTTTTATTTGAAAGAATCCATACTAAATTTACCTTGACATACTCCATCCTGTTTTTCCATTGTGTATGGCCAAACATAATCAGTGAGTTGCATATATGAAACCAAAGCAGGAACGTCGTTTAAGAGGCTCTCTGGTTTGCCTGCTTCAATGACAAGAACCATAGCTCTGGGCTTATCTTCGGTCAAACGAGCAGCTAATACAGATCCAGCAGTACCGCCACCCACAATCACGTAGTCGTATTCATCAAGCGGCTGAGAATAGCCTGAAAAAGTAAAATGTTTATTTTATGTGACCATTACTGCACTAGGCCTTGATATTAGCTAAATATATTTTTTACATTACAACGAAGAGCTTACCTAATCGAACATAGGAATGATGGTTAAATTTACTTATTTGTATAATAATTGCTTAAATAAAAACTTATTTTTTAAGTAAACACGTACGTATACGCACCAAGGTAGATAAGCCTAAACCTAACAAGAAAACATAATATGCTAATACTCGTAATTATATTTATTACACCGTGGAGTTTCTGAGCTTGTAAGTTGAGTATAAGTATAATTGAACTTAATTTTGCGAGGCCCATTTCTCTTACATAATTAATCTATTAAAATGGAAGGGCCTAGACCCTTCCTATCAATATTTATACGATCTTCTGATAACGTGTCTACGTTATGTTTATATCTGTAATTGCTCTGCGGGACAGATTGCCCGCAATACAATTTTTTTGCACATGACATCAATGGAAGTGTGTTAACCTTCAAACAAACAATAAAGTAATTAAAACTTTGGATCTATATACGAACGCACCACACGAAGCACAATTGTATTGTGTAAATATACTATTCGTCACCGTTTGTATGTACAAAATATTCATGTAATAAGTTTAAGTGTAGTTAAAATAATATAACAGACATTTTTGAAAAAAATAAAATATTGGAGAAGGTACATAGTAATAGAAAATATATTAATATACTATAATCCATACGAAACACACAATTAACATGCTTACAGCTTTTAATAAAACGAAAAGCGATAAAGTCAGTAATTAACAAAGATAGAACCAAATTGTTTTTAGCATGGACAATACACAATTATGTATTAAAACACAGAGTTTATTTTCTATTTGACCATTGTTTAATTTTAAATAATAAATAAATTATATTTAAAATCCAAAATCTCTCATCTAAAGATTTTAATTAGCACAAGGTACCAATGCCCAGTGATAGTTATTCATTTATTTATGTATAATAAATAGAATTATAAATATTTTTTGTTACAAATACTTAACGAAATATTAAAAAAATGCATTTTAAAGTAAAAGTTACTTAAATATTTTAACTATGTTACCTTTAGGCAGTGGATATGAATCTCGCAAAATGTCGAAAGGGTCACTTGGATTGTTTGGCCTATATTGTGAAGGAATGCTTTGCATCATCATGTCAACTATAGGATTTTGACGATAGTAGCCTAGATAGCGTTTCTCTCTTACATTATCCTTTTCTTTAAGGTGTTCATACGAGTATGTTGCATTGCCAGATTCTTTGACAACCTTAGAATCTTTATTTAATGCATATGGCCAGAATATTTTTTTGTCCCTGTAATCAATATGACTATCCTCATCATCTTCTACTGTAGCGTATTCATCTTCTTCATGGAATTGTACAGCATTCACCAAGAAAATTGTTGTTAAAATAAGAAAAGCAGTCTTTGTCAGTCTCATGGTGTCTGAAATAAAAATATATATTACTGAATATCCACGTAAGGTGCTTCTGTGCACTCTTATTTTTTCTTTAACGATGTGCGTATAAATGTATGTATTTTTACGTATAATGTGTGGTTCGTATAATAATGACGCAGTGTAATAGCAAGTAATAAAAGTTTGATCTAAACTTGAAGGAACTATTTGAAGGAAATAATTTTTAAAATCGGATCAGCAGTACCGGATATTACCCCGAACATAAAAACTCACACACTTTACTTTTACCTCTTTACAATGTATTATTTACAATGTATCATTGTACAAATATTAGTGTTATTTATCATTGCTTTAATTATTTACTCGTAAAAGTCTTAAAATCTGTACATAATACAATTATCACTATTTAATTTAATTATTTAATTTAATTTATGTGCGAAGTCGCTGGGAAGAGGTAGTTTTCTAATAAAACTTTCATCTTTTATGAAAGAAGGTGCCTAATAGAACTAATAAGAGCGTTTACTAGCGCACGAGGGCAACTTCTAACTTTTCAAGGTCACCTGTGTTTACCCGCGCTCAAAGCACCACGTAACTCATAACGGGGACAGCGCAAAATCCGATCTCCGTGAAAGGAGTATTAAATCTTTCTACTCGTATTTAAGTCTTATATTTTATTGAGCACCTGTGCTCAGTTATTGTTGGGGCAAAATTAATTTAATATTTGTGCACCAGCATTGAAATGCGTTTTATAAATTTCTAGTCTTTAATTTCCATTTATATTTTTTTGCTTTAATACTTTCTAGGAAATTACCTAAAATATCTTATAAATTATTTAAACTATGGTTGGATTTTTAATATTGTCAGGGCGATTCGTTCTGCATGGGATAGGTTTCATGCGAAGGTATTATGATAATAATCATCAAGGCCGTCTAACCTCAAACTAGGCTGAGTCTGCTCTTTGGTATCTAGCCTGCTAAAAATATACTTGTATATTTTTTATTAAGTCACCTCACTGCTTTCTACTGCGCTGAGTGTTGTGGGTTTGATCCCCACGTGGGACAACACTTTGTGAGATCCACAAGTTGTTTTGACTCTAGGTGTCCTTTGTGCCCATTTTATGTATATTTGTAAATTCCCCCGAGACACAATATTTATGAATAGTGCGAGAGTTGTCTTTTTAAAATAACAAAAATACATATTACAGATAAATTACACCCAGACACAGAACAGATTATCGGGCTCATCGCACAATTATTTAATTAACTAAAAAAACTGGCACATATCATAAGAATATGTCTAAATTTCAAGGACACACATTTTCAAATACATTTAAAATCTACCAATGACATTTTATATAAATTATAAATTTTATTGAACAATTTCCATATATGTTAACTAGACATTGTGTTTAGAAAGCTTTCATGTTAAAATATTGCCCGTCACTTTGTTGGACACTTGTTACATATTATTTCTTTATTAACAATATAAGCTACTCCATATATTTTATACGATTGGCATAAAAGTAGTTGACAACTGTAAATACTCAAACAATTTCTAAAATTAAAGTTATAAAGTCAAGTCGGATTTACATTTAAACTTGTGTAAACTTAGTCAACAAATTAACCGTTGCTAGATAGGAATTATTTAAATATATTATAGCATTTAAATATAACCACAGTTGGCACGAGAACCGTCGTCTACTTTTTGTATTTACAGAGCAAATACTCGTATCAAGAATGTTCAGACCGGGACAGGTTTCAAACCATAATTATTTAAACCTTTAACAATATGAGATCATCTGAAAAGGCTCAGTGAAATATCTACTTGAATAAAGACTTCCATTGTAAATAAAAGTCGTTGTCCATAGCTAATAAAAAAAATTAAACGAAAAGAAATAATAGATAATACTAAACGTGCCCGAAGGTATTATATTTTAGAACCATTTTTAATCATTTTTGTTCAAACCACAAGGTACCTTGTAGTTTGAACTCTTTGACATTTCTTCAACTTAGCGTAGGTAACCCTAAAGAAAGATGTGTCTCATAAAAAAAAAAACTACTAGAAACAATTAAGGGCACTCGATCCTTGACTAGTATGACCCCAAGTTTACCCTAATATTCGAGTTCGGTCATGATATAAACCAATCGTCAAACCTTCAGGGAAACTATCAGTAAGGCGGTCATTTAAAACTAAGATTTGTATGAAAAATATTAATTCCTAGTCTAAATTTAAGATCATTAACCTTCAATTCAATGTACAAATAATTTAACTTTTTATTTTTAATTTAACTAGGATAAGACCTTTAAGCCAATTGTTTGCAACTTTGAACTCAAAGTAAAAGTTTTGACAACCAACAAAGGTTGCGACTGCGTTATAAACATTAAAACAGTGTGCACTCTCATTAAACTTGACAAGACAACGCTTGACAAGTTAATCTAAAAGTTTGGCTTATTGAAATTCATTTATGTTTTATAACTAAGATTTACAATACTTTTGCTATTAATGAAGCAGCAAGCAAGTTAGTTTTTATTTTCGTTTAAGCCTTCAAGGTTTAATGCTTATCGATAGAAATTTTTAAAATATTTCTTATACTGAAAAATAGACCAAAATTCCAAAAATACTGATATCAACAAAGAATAACTGCGTTTTTGATATGGCAATTTAAGTTCGCTTACCTTAAGATATTATTCCTAACTTAAATGTTTTTTGTGTCCGTTGGAAATGTTTTTGTATGTTCACCACGTCGCGTCGCTCCTACAAGTGGACGAGGAATGATCGCATTAAATTCGAATGTGTGGTACGTATACAAGCCTTGACCGCGCACTTGAATTTTACCGCTATTTTGACATAATGACCAATCAAAACCTACTTTGTACCGATCTCCTATAAATAATAATTTAGTTCAAATGTTAATTAACTGTTTCTACTTTCCTTCTTTTTTTTTTTGTTTTGATTCCACACAATCAAACTATAGCAATACAAGCCTCCGTTTTTAATCGTTTCGAAAATTTTGTAGGTAAATCGAAACTTAAGGATTTGGAGTGTGCAGTTTGGCAAGTGATAAGGTCTTGCAGCACAAGTAAAGGAAAAATGTAAATATCATAATTTTTTTGCTATAGGTATCACCAATTCTTTTTGTTAATAACTTATACTTTTTTGGGGATATAATTGCTCAAACTGCAAAGTTAAGTTTATATATTTGCAAAAAAGCCAGTAATCAGAGTTGCGGTTTGATTACCGAGACAAAAGAGCAGAATGCAAATTAGTTCGATTACGGAGCTCTCTAATTCTTAATTAAGACTTCTACTTGTCTAATTTTGTTTTCTAAAAAGCTGTATTTAGTACTTACAGCACCCACGAACGTCGAATTTTATTGAACCGAACCGCGAAAGATCCCTAAAATAACAGTTTGTTATGTAGGCAGGTAGAAAAACAATAAGCTGTATTTAAAATTATTTAAGAATTTTACTTAAATTTCTTTAGATTTCTTTTCTCTACCTTGCACGAAATACTTTGATCATATTGTGTCATGCCGGTCGAAAACGTCCTTCTTCGCGTGACGAAAAGAGAGATAAGTATCTACGGTTAATTCCGTTATGAATGTATAGATGATTATAAATATTTATGAGCCACAAATGTGATGCACAAATAGTTATCATGAAGTCGAACTTAAAGCAACCTAGGTCAATTTCTAGAGGTTAAACACTATGCATCAGAGTCTATATTTACACCTGAAATACCCTATTGAAATTACAACTAACAGAAAATGTTTTCTTCTTATTTAAACCGATAATTCTATCGTCGACATACAAATGAAGACGAAATACCTCGCACCGTTAAAAGGAGATCCCGTTAGCAAATAACAAAGCCCAACAAATAAATGTGTACTATAGTTATAGTTCTGTAGTCAAGTTAATGTTATTTGCTTAGATATTCCGTTACAGGGCATCGCACGTACTCATCACAGGTAAAACATGCAGCTGAGGACTAATAACGTACAACCTACCATATAAGGTCAAATATAAATTCCACAAGGAATTATCCTTTAGTGGTATTACTACACATTGTTATACAACTAACGGATGCATGAGATTAATTGCTATGTTAATACGAACTTATTGTGATTCATTGCCTATACACAACTCCGGCTTAACACTCTTAGTACAATTTTATATTTATATCAACAGAAATGTTTTTTGAAAACAGATTTGTTAATAGTTCTTGCTTTAACAAAATAAGGGTGAATAACAACTTAAATTTTATGGTTTATAGAAAAGGTGACACTAAAATTAGAGTCAGCTGTCCTGATTTACTTCCACATTACATGATTTTTAGGGTTCCGTACACAGGGGTAAAACGGGACCCTATCACTAATCCGTCCATCTGTCACCAGGCTGTATGTCATGAACCGTGATAGTTAGACAGTTGAAATTTTGCACAGATGATGTTTTTCTACAAATACTAAAACAGATTAAAATAAATATTTAAATAGGGCTCCCCTACAACAGACATGATTTTTGTTTCGTTTTTATAGATTGAGAAACCCTTTGTGCGGGTGTCTGACTCCTGGTTCCCCGGCTATTAGTACCCGAGACGGCGTGCGGTTTTAGTCTTAGTCGGTTCGAGTCCGACATGCCACCAAAAAAAAAAAAAAAAAGGGTGTCTGACTCGCATTTGACCGGTTTTTTTTTTTCATAATAGAACGTTGACGTTTAGGTTTTTATTTCATTACTGTAAACAAACACTAATGAGGCATGATAAAAAAGTATTTAACCAGTAGCGTCCAAGACGATATTTTTCCTTACAGAAAATTATAACATTTAAAGTGTGTTAATTATAAATTATCGGTTTCTATTTATACACGTATTTTTCCCTATGAAATGAGAAGAAATTAAATTAAGTTCACGAACGTATTCGATATGAACATTAACTTAATAAAAATAGAACGGAGTACTAAAACATTTATAAAAGTATAGTGCATCAGAGAAAGGTATGCAGTCAGACTCAACGGAATCGAATAATTT